GTAAGGAAGCAGTCTAGCATAATTAAGTGCGTTGTAGAAAATAAAATGTAGCCTGTATGTACCTTATGTGTTAATGCAATTTATCTATTATAAAAAAGAGCATTGTAAGTAAGCCAACTGTAATTTAATTAGTGTGATTGTATGGTAATATATTTTATTGTAACTAGTGAATGTATAAATGGTGTAAGTATAAGTAGTGTAAGTAGGAAGTACAGTGTAAGCGTAAATGTAAGTATAATATTAGTGCTGTAAGTAGTGTAAGTGTTCGTCCTGTAAATAAAATTGAATTTTAACAAAAAAGAAAAATTGGAGATGATGAATTCATATTCTGAAACTTACATGTCAGTTTAGATGTACATATAAACGTATTCTGGAGAAAATTCTCAACTATTTTGTTTAAAAAAAAAAAGAAACAAACAAAAAAACAAGAAATGCGGAAATTCACATTAAATGAAAATTTTACTGTCTCTAACTTGTGGCCTACTCACCCCAGCAAAAGATGACGTAGTAGATCATTTTTATTCTTTCGAGGTTAAAGACAGTGACGATCTTAAAGTAAAGATGCAATCCTTCTGCACTCATCCAGGTGAAGCTGGCAGTGTACAAGAAATGAAGTAGAACAGCTACTAATTTGCATAACCACTGCAAGACACAAACATTTGAAACAAAGATCACTCTAGCCTCGTAGACTGTGGTGACCACGGTCACAGAACGTTGACAGTACATCCATTTAACTCAGATCTCCGAGATAGTAAGCTTTCAAAATCACAAAATAAAAAGGTAATCGTTTTCACTGCAGAAAATAATATCTGATCTGATGCCTTATGAAGTATCATAAAAGAACTTTAGAAGAGCTGTGTTTCAAACTTCATAAATTAAGTCAATCTGTTTACGGAAGTGAGATTATACTATGCAGTACATCCTCACCTGTTTTTCTGTTGCCGTGATACCAGTAAGAAATACAACTTGCGCCATCGCCAAGGCGATGCATAAGTGAAGATGAATTTGATACTTGATGTCAGTCAAAGATCTAGTTAAAGTGGAAAATTTTTTCAGAAACTCGTGGTTAGAATCTTTGAAATACACTTTCAGTGTACCCTAGCATAACATTTGAGAGGAAAAAAGTCATTTATCGGCCTATTTAAAAATAGCAAAACTAATTTAAAAAAACCTTGTACAAACCTCAGACTTAAAAATATTATTATAGCAGCCGTTAGAGCAATAAATGATATTCCACAACCAATGTAAGTTATAATCTCCAAAGGAAGCTGATCTTCAGGTGAAACCTAGGAAATAAAACTTATTGAGAAGATTTCTAGAAGACATGATTCAAATGACTGTTTGAAATAGTTATGCTGTCCATTAATTAATAGAAGTGGCTTTAGAGCTAAAATATAAAAGGGTGTTACAGTCCACATATTAACCAAGAAAATAGCTAAGTAATGCATCTCGTTTATTACTTGATTTGCAAATTTCTTATATTGCGCAACCGTCCTGAGCAAATAAGGCATCTGTATCCATATAAGAATGGTTCTAAACAACGTTAATCTAAAGCAGAACCAACACACTTTGCCTCTTTTTTTAAAAAATTTTACAGAACACGGTATTCAAAATATTCAAAATGTTTGATTATTCTCGGATCCCATAGTATAACCTCAGCTGGACTTACGTAAAAACGAAAATGAAATTTTAAGCAATCTTATCGCATGCCCCTATGTATGTCAATGATATTAAGACTTGTCAGCGACAAATAGCTACTCACATGTACGTCAGTTAAATGCATTAACACAGCAAAGCTGGTTAAATGATTTGTCGAACACACAGTCTGCTTGCTGTCACTCACAATTATGGAAACCCCGTTGGATAACCATTCTTTTTCACTAGGAGAAAATAATGTTGTTTATGTCACCTTTTAACAGAATATTAAATTACTATCTTTATTGAGTGTCCCGGGTAGAAACGTGAACTAAACAGATAGAAAGTATAATGGATATACAGTTATAATGGATTGGTATTTAGTACTGGACTGTTATTTTCATTTTATTTTTGTAATTTATTTATTTTGCTAAATTTTGTTTACAACACATTACAATTTCATGCCTAAAGATAAGCTACAGACAATAAACTTTTAGAATACATTACTTGCCTAAGAAAACACACTTACAGTACATACCTATACAATAAACTACTTACAATAACTACTATAACTTGCTTATAGTACGCTAATTACAATTCATTACTTACGATACATTACATACAATAAACTAATAACTGTATTCATGTAATACTTAAAGTAAACTAATAACTGTTCATTACCTATAAGAAACTACTTACGGTAAAATTCTTATTTTCTTTCTTTTATTTAGGGGTAGTTAGTTGTTGTAAACACACAGTGACTCTATAAGTTTTAGTTATATTTTCACCTGGCATGAATGACAAAAATTGATTCTGGCGTACACCCTAAACTCGTTTGAAATTAATTACTCACGATCTTTGTTCAGTGTATTCGATTTAATCAAAATATAATGAAGCATGCCTACCCAGGTAAAGGTTTCCAGTAACCACAGCGTGGATCTATTCCATTTTGTTTCTGTTAAAAGATTTAACACAGATGTAAAAAAAACAATTATAGTTTTGACTTTTCTCATAAACAGGACTGTTGGCAAGAATTTGCGTAAACAATGCAGAATTAATTAGTAATATACAAATAAATAGTAAATTTATAAGTTAATCCGTAAATATATTTTGTAAAAATGAGTTAATTGTAATGATTTCTAATAGGCCACGTTCGATATATCAATATTTTACCATGGCTCCGGGGCTTTTGGGTAAAAATTGTAACTTTTTAAAGTTTCTTTTGTCTCTCAATTCCCAAAAGAGACTTGGATACAAAGAAAACACCACCAAATATAGAAATTTGGCCTGAAAGCCTCGGAGCCATGTTAGAATATTGATATCTCAAACGTGGCCCATTGTAGTATAATTTGCCAGCCAGGTTTGTGTGACAAAAGCTATAAATACAAACCTTATTTCCAAATGTCATAAAAGCTTCTTTCTTTAGCGAGTGGACTGGTCTTCCATCAAAAAATGCAATGACTGAGATTATTTCTGAATTGAGAACTTCTTCCGCTGAACCCTCTCTATATCGGTTAAAAAAAAAATAGAAATAAAGAAACTTTTAGCTTTATTCGTAATATTTTAAAATATCTATTAATCAGGAGAAAATATTTTTGGCCTGGAAATGGGATCTTAAAGTACTACTGTAGTAAAGCCTTATACTGTGTTTTATCTGCACAATAGTCCATCTCTTCCACGCTTCATTCTTATCAGTACTGTACCTTTGTATTTTGATGAGATGGAAAGTCCCTGCATTATTCGGGACTGATAAATTAGGAAAAGAAAGCATACACATACCTGTCAGTTGAAGATGTTAACTTGTTTGTGAAATGAGACATGAGGTTTTTGTAAATAACCACGCTCACAGCAAGCCGACCTGAAGGTTGAGTATTACTAGTGTTAAAAACTGTTCTCTAGTAGGAATTAAGAGCAACAGCATACACAATGCAAATGACGACATTCCCTCTCCAAAAATTGAATGGGCTTGTCGGCTCTCGCCTCCGAAGTTGCTAAGCAACAAAAATATTCATGACCACTTGCGTTGTGTTTAGATGGATAATGAATGAAACTCTTTTTATATTACAACGAAGTTGTGTAACAAGAAATTATTTACTCCCGACTGAAAAGGCAGCCCTTAGATTGCACAGAGATATCGAAGTTGGCAGAAATTAGACAGTGGCGGATCCAGACTTTGAGCTAAGGGGGGGGGGGGGG